CTTGTAGTGAGATTGAACAAATATAAACTACTTATTGCTATAAATGGGTATTCAATTATTCGAGATTTGAAGGCAATTTCATTCATCCAAATAGTCATTGGATATAGATTGCATGAATAACAGAATAAGGATAGCCCGTATACTTTGTAGTCCAACTCCATTTCTCCCGAGACGCACTTGGACCCTCCTCCAGCCCCCATAATTCAAGACAGTATTGTGTAGTCATATAATCACAAAGTAGAGCAAGTTTGTTCTCAAACAAAGCAAGTAGGTAATTGTCATTAAATTCTGAAAACAAAGCAAGTTGGTAATTGTCATTAAATTCTGAAACAAGTATCGGTATTGATGTAAAGACTTCCTTTTCAATGTCAAATGAAACAATCAACGTAAAATCATAACCAACATAATTTTCCACGTCCATCTTATCCCTAATCCAATACATCGCTCCATTGACACAAACTGCCTCAAAAACAAGTGTTACTCCCTCTAAATTTCTGAACTCTACTTTTTTACATGACACCGAGCATAATGAATATACTTCCACACAATTCACCACACCGTATCCCTTATAAATTTTCACTATCTTGTAATTATTAAGAACCAAACTAAACCCAAATCCAAATCCTATAGGGTGATGAATAGTTGAGGCCACCTATTTACACTATAAAAAAAATTGACTTTCAACTGAAAAGTCACTACTAAAAGTTTTCATCATTACAAAAACTATCAATCAGCAATGACTTTTTTGTCACCACTAAAAAATAATATTAGTTTTACCCATCATGTGTCGCCACAGCACCCTTCCACAAGTCGCCACATCACCACTCCACGTGTCACGCCTATCTCACACCACTTGTTGCCCCCACCTCGTGTTATGTGTCATCATGTCACCAATTTATATTTTCATTTCACAAATTGACTCCTCCAAGATTTAAACTCATGACCCCCTTTTTGATTTATTCAAATTGCAAATTATATTATATTTTTTTGTCTAAAGTAAACTATAAATATAGTTGATATAATATCATTTGTATTATTTATTTAATTTTTTTTTACTTCTTGAAGTTATTATATTATTTATTTTAATGTTCATATTTATAATTATAATATAAAAATATCTAAGAATAAATAGTAAAAATATAGATGATTATACATTAGTTCATAATTATTTATTTTTCTAGCTAATTTCATTTAAAATTTTATTTTTAATTTTAATTAAAAATAACTCTTAACTAATGTAATTAGGTTTTTTTACATTACACTTTACTTTTTTAATTAGTTTTCATTTTTAAATTATAATTTTACAAAAAAATTATACATTATATTATCTATTTTTTATTTTATGTCGTAATATAGCATCAAATAAAAAAATCATATAGCATCACATACATAGATATATTTTGTATATTATAAAAGTTAAAAGTGAAATTTTAGAATATCTCATTTTTTTTCTTTTTATCTTTCTCTTTCCTATCATTAGCCATCAAACTGGGAGCATTTAAATCAAAATCAAGCTTTAAATGTAGAATTTGAATTAAAAAATTATGTTAGATGAAATATCATTCTATGAATGAATAAATTTAATTATCACATGTCTAATTATTATAAACAAGTACTGTTATTGTTTAAAATATCAATTTAGTCATAAAATATTTAAAAATAGAAACTCATTACTGCATTATATGCATTTCAAATTAAAAAATCAAATATTGGATTTTTGATAAATTCACATTGGCATATGCATTAGTCAATTTAGTTAAATTTGGTGTTATTTGACCAAAGCCAATTAATTAAACTAGCCTAAGTGGTTGTATTGAATCAAACCAAACATTACTTGATAATAAAAATTGACATAAAATAATATGGTTGGCTTAATTCTTTACTCTAACTCATTAGCATTAAATAATACCTTAACCTTATCTTAAATATATTAAATGAAAATTCATTATGTTATTTTATATATTCATTATAAAATTACAATAATGCAATAAAATTAATGTCTTAAAAAGTTAGATATTAAATTAAACAAAAATATAAAATAATGTTGAAAATATAAAATCAAACTTTCAGCAGGGACATTATAAAGTCGCCCTTGAAAGTCTCACTTTCAGTGGCGACACTATAAAGTGGCTATTAATTGTCAGCTTTGAAACTTATAACATATTTATTATAAAATTAGTTTTTAAAAAAATTATAATACATTTTAAAATACATTGATAATCAACTGATTGTCAACTTTCAACTGTGACACATGTCATCACTGAAACTTAGACCTTCGATAGCGACATACACTTATCGCTGCTGAAAGTCTAACAACCAGCAGCCACTATATATTGTCACCATAGAAAGTCACCCTTTTAGCAGTGACTTTTTTATTGCCGCAGATTGTTCATTTTCAACGACAACTTTTTAGAGTCACCACTGAAAGTTTTTTTTTTTGTAATAGTTTTGTTCACCTGTTTAACCTCTTTGATAACTAGATTCCATAATAAAAAAAATTATGAGAAAATACATCAAACCTATAGATTTCAACACAAAACAAGCCATTGTTGGAATCAAGGATCTGAGTATACGGATAGGAATCGAGCAAAGGTGCCTTTTGAACTTCAAGGATTTGCATTTGCAAATCATGATCCAGCAAACCAAAGTGATAGAGATTTGAGAGGGGATGTCCCTTTTGGCCAAGTCATAGAGGACATTGGTTTGGTCTCCATCGAAGCATAAAAGGAGGGTTTGGATGGTAAGTATGAGAGTAGTGGAGGTGTTCTTTGATGAAAATCTGACTCTTAAAGATATTTTTCCAATCTTTACATACGCATTGAAATTAGATTAGAGATTTTACAGGGAGTCTTTTGAGAAATAATGATATCTTGGGGAACAGAGGCAATGTTGTCTTTTCGAGCTTACGGATCCATTTTGCCGACTTCCCTTACCTACATTATTCCATCAACCAAAGGCTGTTCACTTTGGAGACCTGATGCGGTTATAAGTACGACCGGGCGTGGGAGGCACTCGGTCCTTCAGATTTTTAAGGGCCGCCAGGGGCGCACTGGACACCACGCGATGTGCGGTGATCTTCTAGCCACTGGACCCTACCTCTAGCTGAGCCATTTCTAGGGTAGGCAAGCTATTAAACAAAAAAGAGAACTCTTCCTGAGGCCTCAACTGACGTCTTCAGACTCCCTAACGTTGCTGTTAGCTACCATATCTCGATTCAGGAATGTTAACTTAATTTCCTTTCAAAGTGCGCGTGTCACACGCTATCAGACGAGCTTATCCCGTCTCTTAAGATTGACTAACCCATATGCAAGTGCCGTTCACATGGAACCTTTCCCCTCTTCGGCCTTTAAAGTTCTCATTTGAATATTTGCTACTACCACTAAAATCTGCATTGACGGCCGATCCGCCTGGGCTTGCGCTAGAAGTTTTGTAGTGATTGCCGAGCCCTCCTACTCACCGAAGCCTGGTGCTTGCCCTGACGACTGGGTATAGGTTGCACGCTTCAATGCCATCTATTTTTGGGGCTAGTTGATTCGGTAGGTGAGTTGTTACATACTCCTTAGTGGATTTTGAATTCCATGACCATCATCCTGCTGTCTTAATCAACCAATACCCTTTATGGGATCTAGGTTAGCGCGTAGTTGGGCACCGTAACCTAGCTTCAGGTTCATCCCGTATTGCCATTCTGCTTACCAAAAATGGCCCACTTGGAGCTCTTGATTTTATGGCACGGCTCAATGGAGCAGCCGCACTGTCTTACCTATTTAAAGTTTAAGAATAGGTCGAGGGCGTTACGCCCCCAATGCCTCTAATCATTGGCTTTACCTGATAGAACTCATACTCAAGCTCTAGTTATCCTGAGGAAAACTTCGGAAGGAACCAACTACTAGACAGTTCGATTAGTCTTTTGCCCCTATACCCAAGTTAGACGAACGATTTGTATGTCAGTATTGCTTCAGGCCTCCACCAGAGTTTCCTCTGGCTTCATCCCACTTAAGCATAGTTCACAATCTTTCAGGTCCCGACAAGCATGCTCTCACTCGAACCCTTCATAAAAGATCAAGGTCGGTCGGCGGTGCAGCCCGCGGGGGATCTCGCCAAATCAATTTCCTTCTGCCTTACAGGTTTACTCACCTGTTGACTCGCACACATGTCAGACTCCTTGGTTCGTACCTCAAGACGGGCCGAATGGAGAGCTCGCGAGCCAACACCAGGAGCGCGGGGGTGTTAAGGCACGCCGTGATGGTGGACACTGCCAGCCACGATCACAGCAATAATGTTACTACGGGCATGTCAACAGCACGAGCTTGGGCTGCTGCCGTAATCCGCGTCAGTCCACACACCAAGTCGAACGGCAAACCAACTCGTGTTGTTCAACATTCGACCGAGACGCTTCCCTCCCGACAATTTCAAGCACTCTTTGACTCTCTTTTCAAAGTCCTTTTCATCTTTCCCTCACGGTACTTGTTCACTATTGGTCTCTCGCCAGTATTTAGCCTTAGATAGAATTTACCGCCCGATTGAGGCTGCATTCCTAAACAACCCAACTCGTCAACAGCCCCTCTTGGTGTGATAGGGTCCGAGCATGACGAGGCTCTCACCCTCTCTAACGCCTCCTTCCAGGGGACTTAGGCCCGGTCTGCCACTAAGGACGCTTCTCCAGACTACAATTCGGACACTGGGGGAGACCGATTCTCATAGTATGCTTTTCCCGATTTGCACACTGTTACTAAGGGAATCCTTGTTAGTTTCTTCTCCTCCACTTATTGATATGCTTAAACTCAGCAGGTAGCCCCGCCTGACCTGGGGTAGCAATCAGGGACGCCGATCTGGCGGCTCGACTCGAGGGACGATGAGTGTACATGTGGGCTCGATTGACATCTCATCCACCTTTGACCGTGGTGGCTATCACTGAAGGGTGTCTTTCAGCTTGTCGAGAGTCGGGGCTCTCAAAAGGCCACCTTTTGCCTCGTGCAATTTCGGGCAATGGCAACATTGCGTGATGCCCAGGCAGACGTGCCCTCAACCTAATGACTTTGGGTGCAACTTGCGTTCAAAGACTCGATGGTTCACGGGATTCTACAATTCACACTAAGTATAGCATTTTGCTACATTCTTCATTAATGTGAGAGCTGAGATATTCGTTATCGAGAGTCGTTTTCATATGCAAGTGGCAAAAGACATGGCGCTGGCTTTGAGGCTACTACTTTTGGGCCGCCAGCGGCGCGCTACTTTTCTGCATTTACTTAGCGCCTCAGGCACCGAGGTTGGTTGTTGTGATAGGGGCTCAGGCTTGCACAGAGTAGGGCCACATCCCTGGCTCACACGAAGAGGCTCGCCTCGTGTGGCGACTTTCAGACCGGTTCTCGAGTCAATCTTTTGTGGGGCATCAACAATGATCCTTTCGCAGGTTCACCTATCGAAACCTTGTTATAACTTCTCCTTCCTCTAAATGATAAGGTTCAGTGGACTTCTCATGACGTCGCCGACAACGAACCACCTATGTCACCGCGATCTAAACACTTCACTGGACCATTCAATTGGTAGGAGCAACAGGCAGTGTGCATAAAGGGCATGGACATAGTCAACATGAGCTGATCACTCGTGCTTATTATGAATTCCTCATTGAAGACCAATAATTGTAATGATCTATTCCTATCACGATAAAATTTCAAATATTACCCAGGCCTGTTGGCCAAGGCTATAGACTTATTGAATACATCAGTGTAGCGTGCGCGCGGCCCAGAACATCTAAAGGCATCACAGACCTGTTATTGCCTCAAATTTCCTTATTCTGAATGGCCATAGTCCCTCTAAGAAGCTGGCCGCTGAGGGTTACCTCCGCATAGCTAGTTAGCAAGCTGAGGTCTTGTTCGTTAATGGAATTAACCAAATAAATTGCTTCACCAACTAAGAACAGCCATACACCATTACCCATAGAATTAAGAAAGAGCTCTCAGTCTGTCAATCCTTACTATGTTTGGACCTAGTAAGTTTTCTCGTGTTAAGTCAAATTAAGCTACAGGCTCCTCTCCTGGTGGTTCACTTTCATCAATTCCTTAAGTTTTAGCCTTGTCACCATACTCCCCTTGGAACACAAAAACTTTAATTTCTTATAAGGTGCCAACAGAGTCCTAAAAGCAACATCCGTTGATCCCTGGTCAACATCGTTTATGGTTGAGACTAGGATGATATTTGATCGTCTTTGAGCCCTTAACTTTCGTTCTTGATTAATGAAAAGATCCTTGGCAAATGCTTTCGCAATTGTTCGTCTTTCATAAATCCAAGAATTTCACCTCTGACTATGAAATACAAATAGCCCCAACTGTCCCTGTTAATCATTACTCCGATCTCAAAGGCCAACACAATAGGATTAGAATCCTATAATGTTATCTCATGCTAATGTATCCAGAGTGTAGCCTTGCTTTGAGCACTCTAATTTCTTCAAAGTAACAGTACCGGAGGCATGACTTGGCCAATTAAGGCCAGGAGTGCGTCACTGGCAGAAGGGACGAGCCGACCGGTGCACACCAAAGGTGGACCTATTGACCTAGCCCAAGGTCTAACTACGAGCTTTTTAACTGCAACAACTTAAATATATGCTATTAGAGCTAGAATTATCGCAGCTGCTAGCACTAGACTTGCCCTTCAATGGATCCCCATTAAGGGATTTAGATTGTACTCATTCCAATTACCAAACTCGATGAGCCTAATATTGTTATTTATTGTCACTATCTCCTCGTGTTAGGATTGGATAGTTTGCATGCCTGTTGCCTTCCTTAGATGTGGTAGTCATTTCTCAAGCTCCCTCTCCGAAATCGAACCCTAATTCTCCATCATCCGTCACCACCATAATAGGCCACTATCCTACCATTGAAAGTTGATAGGGCAGAAATTTGAATAATGCATCGCTGGCACTGAGGCCGTGCAATCCATCGAGTTATCATGAATCATCTCAGCAACGGGCAGAGTCTACATCTGCCTTTTATCCAATAAATGCATCCCTTCCGTGAGTCGGGTTTTGTTACACGTATTAGCTCTAGAATTACTATGATTATTCGAGTAATAGGTACCATCAAACAAACTATAACTGATTTAATGAGCCATTCACAGTTTCACAGTCTGAATTAGTTCATACTTACACATGCATAGCTTAATCTTTGAGACAAACATATGACTACTAGCAGGATCAACCAAGTAGCGAACCTTGGTGATGCCGCGTGCTGCCCATGCACCGGCCTGCCAAGAATGATGCAGGCGCGACGGTCCTCTAGGAGGTCAAACCTTCTTTCGAGACAAGCAAGGGCATCTGCCTTGCATCTGCACAGAGCACTGCGTCCGAGAGCATAGCTTATGACCTCAAGGGCCCGATCGACCGTTGGTGGCTCGAGGGAGCACGAGGAATGCTATCTAGTCCTCCAATGCCCCTTCAAGGGGCAACGGATGGAGAACCTTCTCAAAGCCATGGCTTTCCGCAGTGGCGATAAGCAACATAAGAACAACCCCCAAATCAAAACCGAGGCACAACACTTCAAAGGGACAAGACATGAGGACGATTGTATGTTTAGTAGTTTAATGCTCAAGCATAGAGCCAGCCAATATGGATAATCCAAGTACTATTCACACGCCCGCACATTTGAGCGAACCGATACCCCTGCATCAACCACTCCCTACGAGCCCAGAGGGCAAGGTAAGTAAATGGAAGGGACGAGAGGCACCGGCCCTGCACCACTAAGCATGAGCAATACATCAAGCCAAGACATTCGAGGAAACCATCAAATCTGAGGTAACAACATCATCCGCCACGATAAAAAACACCAACCCCTTACACACCCCGAACACTACTGCACACGGCAATCCACCCCCACGCAGGCTTATCAAGCAACATGAGGGGTGGGCCTTGTACGACATATCATAGTTGGGAGGACACACCACAATGAGTATTAAAAAATTTTCTAACACCTAGATCATATCCAATGGACCTAGGACTACTAATATAACACGTCACAAGCACCGAAACATCAATATAACCAAAAAATTTACTCCATAACCCCATTTGACCAAAAATCAAGAGGGGAGGTAATTGTGGCATTGCCTTTCACTCAAATCATTCAAACATACTCAAATCTTCATTTCTACACTTACACTAGTATTTTGGCTCTATAAACATTATATATTTCAACATACATAAAAGCTAAGGGCTCAAAATATAATTTAACATTTCCAATAATTGAAATAGTGCAAGGTGGTGATATGCATTCCTAGAATTGGGAATTCATATACCATTACACAATTAAAGCTAAACTAGAGGCATACAATAGGATATTGCTAATTCCCCGCCTCTTTAGTCTTCTTCCTCTTAACACCAGAGCTAGATCCTAAAAAATGTTAAAGGAAAGGGGGAAGTTAATAGCCACTCAGTAACCAAGGTTAAACCTACCCTATGTACTTTATATCAATTACAAACCAAATACATGCACAAGGAAGTCAAGTATGTAAGATAAGTCTATATATATCACATTTATCATTCTATAACTTCTTTAACTCCATAGCTAGGTGCATTGTCACCATATTCTTAAATATGTGACATGACCCATACTCATGTGACTTGCCACCACTTAATACGTGTGACACGTCATGTATTACTTAGATAATGATCAACCAACCTTATATCCTCCTTATTTCCTCAAACTGAAACTATGGTCTATAACACTGATTAGGTGCTCCATCGTTATGACTAGACTAACCAAAACTCACCAATCATAAGGTGTGACCTGGCCAAAGATCACAAGACTTACTCTTGGACCATGACTTCCTCTATTCGCGAATCCCTGGGGTGTCTCATACCCTAAGCTATTCTCCTCATTGAACCGGTGGAGATAGCTAGGTTCTAGTTCCTCGACAAACTATGGACAGTCCCTCAACAAATAG